AATCAGGGAAGTTTACGAAAAATCCAGCAAACAAGCTTAAAAGGGGCATTTATTTAGACTTCATATTTCAACGAACCTCACAAATCTTACCTGTTTATCTTGTAAATAAACGATGGCAGATTAATTCTCGAAGCGCTTTCTGAGTTTCTCGATCCCTCTCCTACTGCTTTCACGCTTACAAAATAGGAAAAATCAAAAGGAGGAAATAAAGCTGTTTTGAAACGCCATTTGACGAGCGTAAATCTGCTTTTTGTTCGACACTTTGCATATCAAAACAAAGGAAATTTGTTCCTCTTTTTGATTCTGACGGTACATTTTTAGTTTGCGCCTGCGTAAAAGAGATATCGCCCGAGACCCTTCGCTTGGTCGTGTTTTGATCAAAAACGCCTTGTTAATTTCACGCAACCGCTCCGAGAAAAGGTAAAAATGACGAGGGAAAAACTTTACCTTCAAGTTAGAAAATTAGCGAAATAGAAAGCCACAATTTTATAGTTTAATATTTCAGAGGTACATTGAATGCTTTTTCCGTAGAGAATCCGCACGATGGTAAAACATTCGAAAATTACACTCGATTTGAGTGGGGTGTTGAAGTGGGCGTGGTCACTACATTCATGTTAAGACTATTTATACCCTATGAGTTTGATATGTTTTGGGGGTTTTCAAGCTAACAGAAGCTATCGAACTTGGCTGGAAAATAGAAAATTAGGCTAAGGGTTTACTGTGTTTCACTTTGAAAATGTAAAATTCATCAGTCCACTATAATGACTTTCGATTCTAATTCGTTACATTAACTAATTTCGGTTTCACTTTAAGAACCCGCGGAACAGGTCATATGACAAGCGAAAAATTTGCACAGCACGTCACGCAATACATTAAGCTGGGTTTATCCAGTAGATTTAGATGCTCGCAAGGAAGTTTTGGGTTTGTCGCTCAAAACCGTTGTGGTCCATAACAGCGTAAAACCATTAATGATGAAAACAGATTGGCTGAAAGGAGGGCTCGTCCATTGCGTTAAGTGTGCTAAATCTCGGAAGAAACTGCCAGAACTCCTTCAGAGTTTATATACATTTTTAACGTGTTTATGTGTCCTTTTAAGCAACGCAATATGTCTGTAATGACCGGTGTGCCAAATTTTATGCTTTAATTTCGATCTTCTCCACACTGTGCGTAGTTCATGACCTGATATTTCAACGAAAATTATCGAGGAGGCGCCTTCTGATCACCTCTGTTTGCTTTGTAAGTCACGCAAGCGTGCAAGCGTTACGACTGATCACGCTTACGCAACGTTCGAGGACAACTCGGCATCCATTCTCCGTTCAATTGTTATCAAATCCTAAAATCCTCAACGTAGAAGATAAAAAAAAAAATTTTGAACGGTCAAAAGGAGATCTTGCTCAATGTTCAGAATTATGCAAATGTCTTTGACATGATCGTAGGTGAGTAAGTACATGGATATGCGTTGTTTTTAAGATATTGGTGGATGGAAGCTATAGATATACCCGCGGGTTTGAGGCAATTGGTGACTTTGTTGGTTTATAAACTATGCACTGATATGCTTTTTTAGCCCGATTAACGCCTGTATTTTGAGAATTCTTTAGTACAAAATGGTAAGTTTTTTATATGCAAATTAAGGTCGAAGAAAAGGGTCTCCTCCGATCACGCTGGTATGAAAAATGTTTCAGCTGAAGTTTCCATATTTTGTCTGTGAACTAACTGAATACATCTTGTAACTTGTAGCAAGACAGAATTCCGTGAGCTATATTATTACAGTCGCTGCGCGCTGGACAAAATCTGTGAAATTTACGCTTCCGATCGCTGTCCACAGGGGTGGTCTAACCAAAAATCAATTTTGGCTTGTGGCAACGTAGAGGAAGAGAATTGGAGAACAACCAAACAACTTTTTAAATAAATGTCCTAAACTCTGTTCTGGAGCAAAAAATATGAGAAACATTTTTGGCCCGATGGGAAGTCGAGAAGACTGCTATTAGCGAGAGTGGAACTTAACAAGAAAGATGTTCGGAATTGCGCCTGAATGTTTCTCGGGAAAAAAAAAACATGCTAAACAATCACCTTTCAAAATCATTAGCGTGGGTTGTTAACTGATCTATCCTAAGCGTCATGGACAACCACGCTTTAAATAATTTGTTATGCTAAAAAGCCAAATAACATTAAAAATTTACTGTTCTGCGTTACAGAAACAAACAAATCACCTTTCAAAGTCATGAGCGTGGGGATATCTGATCTATCTTAAGCGGCATAGACAATCACGCTATAAATAATTTATTTCACTAGAAACGCCAAATAGCTTTAAAAATTTATTGCTTTGCGCTGCAGAAACAAACGAGGGCGGTGGTCCTGTAATAGTCGTCGAATTAGGACCCACAACCTTGATGTCCAGTCGCGCAACATCCTAAAATCCTCAGCAGTGTGCGAATATTCTGTCGCTGTATATATTTCAGTCGTATGCGATGTATTTTAAAGAACAAGGCCTCATTTTCACGATGCTTCCCTTTGGTTTTACGTCTGTTCTTTTGTTCACATGGTTTCATTGCCGGGCTGTTGCAGACGAAGGTGATATAATTATTATCATGTTACTAGTTATATAGTAAACTGGATATTTTTGCTGGAATAGCATTCAAAGCTTTTAGATGAACTATATTTTCGGTTCATTTTTGGTAATGCTTAAAATTGTTACCAAAACACGCATTAACTGTTCATCACAATACAGCAGAGTCCTATCATGAGATGGTTAACAACTTTATGGAGAGAGCATTGATATAGATAATGTTTCTGAGAATAACAGAAAAATATAAGAGGAGGAAGAAAGAAAAGGAAAAAAGTAGTAGAGGAGCATGAGTGAAAATTTTGATTATCCATACATTTGATTCAAAGTTGCATATTCTTGAAAAGTGCTACAACTGTTTCGTCCCGACAAAGAGACAATAAGTTTGAAAGAAATCAACTTCTACTGAAAATTAAGAAAGGAGCATCTTAAGAACACTCATAATGTTGAAGAATCCATGACGATAAATCTGTTTCATCGATCCCTTTACTGAATTTTCTTATTGTTATTGTTCTCATAAAGAGTATAAGAAATATCTTTTCGTGAAAGCTAGCCAGCTCTAACTGGTTTATTTTCGGAAGTCACGTATGATGTTAGATTTTGTCAGTTTACAAATGCAAGATAGCAGAGAAAAACAGGCATGGTATAATATAAAGGAGGTAATTCTCTAAAGAAACTGTGGTGCTGCGTCGGTGAGAGAGTGTAACAGGGTAATTTAGTGTTATCAACTGAGTTGAAAACGTAAATTAGCCACCCTAAAGAGTTTAAAGACTGCCGTTTCGAGCGTCAGCCCTTCTTCAGAGCGATGGACAAGGGGCGCTGAAAAAGAGCTAACGCTCGAAACGTCAGCCTTTAAACTCTTTACGGTGGCCAATTTACGTTTTGAAATCAATCAATAACACTAAACTACCTTGGTGTAATATAATTCGACTGTTTTAGATACTTTGATAAGATATCGATAATTAAACACCTAAAAACTACGTGAAGGAGATAAAAAATTAATATACTTCTTACTGATCAATAATTCAAGGTTTTCAGTGAGGCTTCCTGTATGTGCAAGACAAATTTCAGTCTAAATATATATAACTAGACAACAGGTTATCAATTGACATGTGATCTGTAAAAACAAATAATAAAAAGCCTTTAGAATTTTAACATATCGTTTTACGCTTAAAAATATGCAAGTTCTTTAGAGTTTGTTATAAAATTTCCATGTATTAGTGAAACAGTTTTTCTACCGCAGGCTTCTCATGGTACGTAAAGCGTTTTAGACTGACTCCTGATTAAAAATATTAATATACTTCGGACTGATCAATAATTCAGAGTTTTCAACAAGAGTAGGCATCCTGTCTATGCTCATCAAGAAAATTGACCGAAAGCATTGCGTAAACGTGATCGGTCGTAACACTTGCGCGCTTGCGTGGCTTACAAAGTAAACGAAAGTGATCGGAAGGCGCCTTCTCGATAATTTTCTTTGAAACACAGGTCATAAACTACGCACAGTGTGGAGAAGATCAAAATTGGCAAGTTCCTTTCAATTTGTTATAAAATTACTTAATTCAAATTCATGGCTAGACCACCCGTGTGGACAGCGATCAAAAGTGTAAATTTCAGTTAGTTCACAGACAAAAAATTAATATGGAAACTTCAGCTGAAATATTTTTCACACCAGCGTGATCCGAAGACACCCTTCTCCTCCGATCAAAAATCATTTTTGCATGTGGTGACGCAAAAAAGAGAATTGGAGAAGAACTAAACTATTTTTTCATTACATGTGTCCTAAACCCTATTCATGGGCAAAAAATAAACGTAACTTTTTTTTTTTATTATCTTTAGGATAAACAAGAGACAACAAAACAGGAAACACTTGCATTTTAAACATGGTAAAAGTTAGATTGATACCTGCTGGTCCAATACTGCTCCTCATCTGTTTGTTTCATAATAACATATATAAAACATCGGATATTAACAACGAAACGCACAAATGCTACGTCTCTATGGCATTTTCTGCCGATAGATGCGCTTGTTTTAATTTTCATTTTAAGGAGAACACCTTGCCTCATTCCATTGTTATAAACGGGTAATATCATTGTTTTAATAATATGTATATTATATATATGTATATTATATTTTAATATCGTTGTTTTCTAAAATGATTTTAGAAAACAACGAGTACATGTACTAGTTTTTGGCATTTACTACCTCTAGAACTGGTGATTTTGGAGCAGAGAAATCAGAAAATCAACATGAAAGATGTTTGGAATTGAGCCTGAATGTTTCTCGGGGAAAAAAACCCATGCCAAAGAATCACCTTTCAAAATCGTGAGCGTGGGTTGTTAATTGATCTATCCTTAGAGGCATAGACAACCACGCTATAAAATATTTATCATGCTAAAAATGCCAAATGACGTTAAAAATTCATTGCTTTGCGTTGCAGAAATGAGGGCAGTGGTCGTTGAATTAGGACCCAAATTCTTGATGTCCAGTCGCGCATCATACTAAAATCGTCGTATGTGATGTATTTGAAAGGACAAGGCTTCACTTTTAGGGTGCTTTTCTTTGGTTTTGCGTCTGTTCTTTTCTTCACATGGTTTCATTGCCGGGCTGTTGCAGACGAAGGTGATATCCATATTATTATGTTTTCAGTTATATAGTAAACTGGATATTTTTGCTGGAATAGCATTTAAAGCTTTCAGATTAACTATACTTTCAGTTCATTTTTGGTAATGTTATGCTGAAAGCTGCCATCTCCTTGGTATCACCATTGCATTCTCTTTCACCTACTTCAGAAAGCAATGAAGATCATTTTTTTCCCTCGAGAATACCAGATTGCGAAAAGCGTTTAAGCCTGTGTCTTCGATGAAGTGTTTGAATTTGTTGCTAAGACACTCATTCGTTTACTGTTGATCAAAATACCGCTGAGTCCTCTTACAATATGATTAACACTGAACTTTGGGGAAAGAGCAATGATATAAAAAATGTTTCTGCGGATAATGGTAAGATATGAGAGGAGAAAGAAAGAGAGGGAAAATAAGTAGAGGAGTATGAGGTTTGGATTATTCATGTATCTGTTTCAAAGTTGCATATTCTTGAAAAGTGCTGCAACTGCTTTGTTTCGAAAAAGAGACAGTAAGTTTGAAGGAAGTCAACGTATACTGAAAATTAAGTGAGGGGTATCTTAAGAACAGGCCGTCATAATGTTGAAGAATTCATGACGATAAATTTGTTTCATCGATCCCTTTGCTGAATTTTCTCTTTGTTATTGTTCTCATAAAGAGTATAAAAAATATATTTTCATGGAAACTTGCCAGCTTTAACCGGTTGATATTCGTACGTCACCTCTGATGTTAGATGTTGCCAGTTTACGAATGCAAGATAGCGGAGAAAAACAGGCTTGGTGTGATGTAATTCGGCTGTCTTATATATAAGATATTGAATTTGAAATCTTACAAAAATATGGGAAAGGAAAAAATATCAATATACTTCCTACGGATCAATAATTCAAAGTTTTAAACAGGAGTAGGCTTCCTGTATATGCTAATTAAATGATATAGGCAAATTTCAGTCTAGGTTTATATAAATTTACTGCAGGTTTTCAATTGATATGTGATCTGTTACCGAACACATTTAATAATCAGGCCTTAGAATTTTACCATATCGTTTTACACTTTGTCAAGTTCCTTTCAATTTGTTATAAAATTGCTTTTCAAATGCCGGGGAGCTGATCAGATTTCGGTGGCCTGGTGAAGATAGCATATAACTTCGTCCTCGAAATGCAGTTTTGACTCCTTGAACTTACAAGGAACTATTTCCATTTACTAATAAAAATACTAGTTGTTCTAGCGCAGGCTACTCATGGTACGTAAAGCGTTTTAGACTGACTCCTGATTAAATATCGTTCATGAGTACAATACTTTTAACTTATCATTTATCATTCCCTTCTTCATTTCTAGAAACAAAAGTCGTCGATATGCGAGGTAAACCTCTAAGCCGAGGCACAGGTGAAGGAATACCTTATGCCAACTTTAAGACACACAAGTTTTCCTACCTCAACATCACTACCATTGGCACGGATTATGTTGGAAAGGGCAGCGAGTGTGGATTTGCTTGTGTCAACATTCCGTCGTGTTTTTCGTTTAACCTGGCTGCATTTCATGATATGAATGGCAAAGTTCTGTGTGAATTACTTCCATCGGATTTGTACAACAACTCAGACAAGCTTGTCCCTAGTCAGAGTCACCATCACTATAGTATCGCAGTAAGTTGGAAACGAAAAAACCTTCACTCTGTTTTTATGAAAGGAAAAGAGGAATTGCTGCAATTGCTAATGCCGCTTTTCTAAAACTTTTTACAAATACGCCTAAAAAAGATAACTGGTCCAATCTGACAACAGTAACATATAAGCCATGTGTTTTTCTTTTGAAGTTTCTTTTTAGTGGAACGAGGACAGTGTGGTTAATTGCAGAAATAGGAAGAGAGGTTATTTGAGCGGAAGACTTAAAAGAGTTTTTGGTATTAGCAGGAAAGGTTTAATTAGAGATACTGACTCTATTTGGAAACACGGTCCATGATTATATATAAAATGATTGGTGCCATATCTTTCTCGTTTCTTTCTCATTGGTATATGTTTTCTTTAGTCTCCATGTTTTAAATGGCCTTGTCAGAACAATGGGAAATGTGCGGCACAGTACGAGAAGAACAGTTACGTGTGCGTTTGCGCGAAAGGATACACAGGGGAACATTGTGAAACGGGTGAGACATAATTTAGTGTACATTTACAACACTGCTTCAAACCTAACTGACGGCGTAATTCTCTTCCATTACCGGAGAATGACTCAAAGATTTGCTGTTTACCACTTTCTTGTCCTCATCGAATATTTCCAAATTCTCCCTTTAATTCATTCCGACCCAAGTTAATTTCGTTTAATGTTTAGATATGGACGAGTGCAGTGCTTCCATCTGGCCTTGTGACGTTAATGCAAACTGCCAGAACACCTATGGCTCCCACAAGTGTTCCTGTAAAAGTGGATTTTATGGAAATGGAAAAACATGTATACATAGCGGTAAACCCTGTTTGTTATTTGTTAGTCACACTACTTAGAGTCAGTTTATTAGTTAGGCTATAACTAATTCCTCTCCACCAGTTTTGACAACTTCATCTTTTTTTAAATAAGCTTGCGCTCACTGACCAAAAACAACATTTTCATACCGAAAGCTTTTGGCCTCTGGTGTAAGGCTTTCAAAGATTTATTTGACAAGAAGCTAGAAGACAAAGTAAAAGAAAATGTACGGTTTATAGAACATAGGATTATTTCTTTGCAACAACTAACAACCATTATCTATTTCACATCTCCAAACTTTCTGGCCGATTTTGGATATCAGGTGGTAAAACCGAGAAAGTGTCCCCGCCCCGCATTTTTTTCTATTAGACTAGAAAGCGAGGCTCTGAAAATTGCAATCGGTGCCCTAAATCCGTAGTTATATCGATCTACCTCTGGCTCAAAAGTTGGTCTTCAAAGAGTGTGTTGATGTAGTGATGGTTTTTACGGATAACGGTTAATATTTTTCATTATAGTCACCGCAAATTTTTTATTTTTTTATTTTTTATTTTTTTTTACCACCGATAAAAACAGAAGAAGGGTGGGAACATTGCACAATTCGTTTCAAGTTAGAAAGAGAATACAGAGCTATCCTCTACAATATTCCCATCATATGCCAGAAAGACGTAGAAATAAAATTAAAATGTCCATGCACTATAGTAATAATAATAAAAATCAAAAAACAGAAAATATGAGAGCTGTTTTTTCACTACAGGCTGGACTCTTATCGCTCGATTCTCAAACAGCGATGGCAAAAATTGGATGCGTGACGATGGTAGATGGTGGTATGACCAACAAATTGCCCTTGGAGCGACAAACAACTCTTCAAAGAACGACGATATGATTTCAACAGCCTTTTGGTCGGTCGGCGGCAGAGAATTAAAAATCACGCGCAGTGACGACCCCAGCCACATCCCTCTGTTACAGACCACAGGTAACTGTTTGGGTGGATATACATTTCGATCTAAAATCACAAGTTATGGCGACTTTAGAAATGGCACGGTCTGGGCCAGTGATCAGTGTCTGGGAAGTTGTCCAGTTCAATATGGCGGACAGTACAAGTCAACAGACGGGTTTCAACAAGCTAACTGCAGTGGAGACATCCAAAGCGCTAACAAGATCGGCTTTTGGTGTGACTGGAGTACTGGGGATGGAGCAGTGATGATGATTGGTGGGGGAGGGAGTGGCTGTGCACGTGCTGATCATGGGATTGGGATCACAGAAGCTAATGCTGCTTCTTTCGTTGAAGAAGGAGGTAGTGAAATTGAATATGACTTTGGTTACAATGCCTTGTCAAACACCCCTCCAAACCAGTCGTACTCGTTGAACTTATGGATTCGTTGAAAATTATACGATCTTTCTTTTTCAAACTAAGGTTAGAACTGAAGAACGTTGAAAAGGATAATGCTCATTTCTTGTCAGTTTATTATCCTAGTTTCATTGTCAAACGTATATGAAAGCTTAAACCTCCACCGTTGTACAAGGGGGGAAAGAGGGATTGGTTGGAAGTCTCCCTTGCGTTTTATTTACCTTGCAATATTTTTCAAGGTTTTTACATTTAATAGATAGCCTTTGTCTACGAGATGCTGTTGATATCATGGGATACATATGCAAATCGCGCTGTTGTGATTCGGTGACGTCAACCAACATGGCAGACTTGTTTTAGATTTTTCGTTTTTTATACTATAAATTTTGGCTTTTTTAAAACAGCAGTAGCTTTCGAACTTGACAAAAAATAGAAGATAAGACTCAGAAAATAGTTTATAGGTTTACTGTATTTCGCTTTAAAAATTAAAACCGTTAATTCTCTGGTTGTTTACATCAACCCTTAAACCACGCTTCACTTGTTCTGATATAATATCTCTTCACCTTTTAAATATGACTTTGGTTATGATGCTCAAATACATGACAACCAATCCCAGTCCTAGTCGTTGAACTTGTGGATCTGTTAAAAATTATCTGCTAAAAGGAACCGTGGAGAGGACGGTATTAATTATTTATTTTCACCCTGTGATCCAAGTTATTTGAGCATTTAAAAACGGTCACTAACATCGCATCTTTTCCCTCTCAAAGCAAAGCTACGAAAGGGAAAAGATCTTAAGATTTTCACATCTTTAGATCTTCATTGTCAACGAATTGCAGTTAAGTTCTTTTTCCTAGAAAGTCATTTTCATTAGAATTGTTTTAACAGACTCATTACTAAACTTGTTGAGGAGATCTGAAGTATTTGTCATTGATTGTGTAGTGATCAATTGGTGAAACCTTATCATACACTTATTGTTTAATTGAATGAGCACATAGAAATAAATAGGTAATTAGATAAACACATTGCTGTTTTGATAAACATCCGTGGTAAAAGATTCTTATTCCGCCATAAAAATAAAAGGTAGAAGACGTTGAGAAGATGAAGTCTTAGTAAGAGATTGCAAAAAAACATTTCAATCATAAATATCAGTTCTCCATTCCAAATCTTGTTCATTTTAATTTCATTTACCATGACAAAAATGTTCATTGTTAAACCTCAGTTCCAGGAGGGTCTGGTCCATTTTTTATAATCTCACTAAAGAAACTTATCAATCTCCTCTTTAGTCCATCTAAGCTAGGCCCTTATAAATTGTGTTAGCCTATTTTTTGGCATAAAAAACGAGCATTGTCTTTGTTCTTTGTGTTAAAGTAGCACTACAAGTCAGCATAATTTCACTGAGGTTTTTTGAAAGATTTTTTTCAAGCTCGGTCGATGGTTTAGTCTATTTTCAATTTTGCAATGTCCTGGTGGAAGAAGATCTCCGCAAAACTGAGTCGTTTGTCAACTAAAGGACTGAGAACACCGGAAGTAAAGATTGTATCACTCCTGGTTCCAGCTTTCACGGTGAAAAAAATAGCTTTTAAGGGAAACGTGAAACTAACATAATACATTTTGACATGTTAACTCGCCGCTTCTAGTCTAAAATGAAGTGCAGTAGTAATTGTGTTTTATCAGAGCAAGAGTCCAAACGTCCATGAGGTTAATAAAACAACTCCTTATGATTCCACATGAGAAATTGAAAATAAGAGAACACCTCAGGTGAAACCCACATTATGCAACTCTGGTCAATTTTAGGTCAACAGACACGTTTCCGGTCTCCAATCCTAAGCGTATTACGTTTACAAGTAACTCATTCGTGACAGAGGAATAAGATAAACAGGAAACTCTAGCCACTTCAGTCACTCGGGAAGTGCAAATCTTCAGGGGAAGAAAACAAGTACGTCAGTTTTCTTACACGTTTATTATAAACGTTGTTCAGTAGAAGAGCCCGAAAGTCCCGAAAAGCTACAATGGACTCTACAGAGAGAGCTCACAGAAAAAGGACAGACGACGTCTTTCGAAAGAGCTTATCGGTGCTTTCTTCTATTTCAATTCTACTGATTGTTGCGCTGTTCCTGAGGATGGAGATGATTAACAAGCGAACGCAAGTCAATGAACTGCGTATTTTGGCCGTTGAAAGTCGCATGAAGACGACAAATGAAGCAGACAAAAACGTCGAGGACAAGCTGAAAACGTTTACAGGTACATGCAAATACAAAACTATTTACTTTGATCCAAACGACGTTAATTTGAAGTATGATATGAATTAATTTAGCTTCTATAATTCGATTCCCTGGAAGGAAGAATAGGAAATGACGAAAATGGCAAAACCGCCTTAATTGACCTGGTGTTTATTTATGAGCTCCAAATGTTTGATGAGAACTGACCATGAACTTTTCGATATGATGGAGATCATGATAGGCTGTAGTCATGCGAAAAACCCATATCATTTTGGCAAGATGATTAGGTCAGTATTTCTTGTACAACGGGTTCATAATCTCAACCCACATACCTAAGACTACAAAAAACAATATGCAGACTTAAAAAACTAAAAGTGAAGCTCAAGTTGGCAAGATGTAACAGTTGCTTGTTATGCTTCTCTTTTTCATGTAAAGGAAGGATATTAATATGACTAAAATATAACATTGCATAACCTTTGACGGTTTATGCGGAAACATGACTTGATAAAATTATCTCAACTATCATTGAAATGGGAACGTTTTAATGTTCTTCTACGACAAGATATTCAGAGAGGATTGTTCTAATAGGTTATGAGCCGACGAAATAAGAAAATTAATTTAAAAAGGTATGATTAGGCTGCTTAATGTTGAACAAAGTTCGTTTAATGCTTAGATATATAATTTCCAAATCACACATCTTAAGGAACCAGTCATATTTTATCGTCTAGGGGGGGAGGGGGGAAGGTCGGAGGTTTATGGTTGTGCCACAATAAATTTTTTTCGGGCTCTTTAGTATTTTAACTTTCTCCCTTATTCTTGATTTTCACCCAAGTTACTTTTGTCTTGACGGCGGTTGCTATCCGCCATGTTGGTGCTCAAGCAAATTGTTACAAATGCGCTTGTAGTTAGTTGAAAGTGAAAAAGTAGAAATGATTCTTTGTGTAGTTCTCGGATGTGGCACCAGAACTGATCCGGACAAAGGAATTGGATTTTATCGAATACCATCAGTTGTTAAAAGTTAGTCTTCCTTCGAAGAAGAATTGAAAACAGAGACGAGAGAGAACTGGATACAATCGATAAGTCGCGGCGACACGATATAAGAAAAAAGGTAAAGACAGACCGGCACGGAATCCCTCTGTGGCTTTCGAGGTTGCGTTGCATTATCTCCTTCAAATTATATTTTTGCTCTCACAAGCATGTCTTAAAGGAATTTCCCTTTGGTAAGAGATGATCGGAGGTTTTGTAAAATTTGTTTTCAGCAAGGGCTTATTGTGTATCAGACTCAAATGCTCCATGTTTGTTTTAAATTTTTAACTGCCGGGTGGTACGTTATGACAAAAGGCAATAAACGTTCGTGACCTTTCGGCTTTTGTGTATGTTTAAGGGCCGATTGTCAAGAGGCAAAGTTGATACCTGACAGAGACCTTTCTATAATGTTTTCTGGGTACCCTCTTGCTTTGAGGCGTTGTTTGAATTTCAAACGGCCCTCTTCAATCAATCTTATTGCTTCGCCTTTAATGAAATTATATTTTACGCCTGGTGGGTGGCACGAGGCGAAGTACGTAAATTGGAATAAAGGTCTCGATCGGCTTGTAATGGGTTTTGATGTCCAAGATGGAATCTTTTGCATATCGTTCCCCTTTAAACACTGTGGTATCGAGAAAAGTGGTTTGGTTCTCTGATATTTCGGCCGTGAATTTGATAGTATGGTCGAAATAGTTGGCTCGTTTAATAAACCGATTCAGCACTTTTCTGTCGTAATCCATAAGGGAGAAAATGTCATCGATGTAACGTTTCCATTCTCTTGGCTTGATTTTACCTTTTTGAATTAATTTCGTTTCAATTACCGCCATGAAAATATTGGCAAATGACACTGCCATTTTCGTACCCTTAGTGGTTCCAGGTGTTTGGAGGAAGTTCTCTTCATTGAATTACAACGAATTTTCTTTAAGGATTAAACCAAGCATTTCCCCTAAGTAGTGCATTCGGATCGTGTGTTATGATTGTGGAACATTTCCTATGTTTCACATACCATATTCGTTCCTTCTTCTTGACGTATATTTGTGTATCCCTTTCTGCGATAATCCAAATGCCTTCAAGAGGATCGTTCATCCGCTGCGAATGTCTCATCTTCGCTAAAACAACAATCTTGTTTACAATCTCTGCTCCTTGAACTGATGTTACGAAGCCAGACACTATTTGGTTGTACGTTTCAAGACTTTTGAATGTTTTAAATTGCTTATTTGTCAGGAATAACTTGTCTCCAGAACAAAATAAGAAAGAAGGTGCGAGACTTCTATCGAGGGCGGACATTCTGCTTGGAATGGCTACTGGATCGACACCAATCACAAAAAAATTTTCTTAAGTTATCGCTCTCGAACGTGGCTTTCTAGGCCCTCCGCATAGTTCGAAAGCACAGGTATTCTAAGGAGAATATTCTCTTGTGATTCTGGATTTTTTTCACCAGAAATATTCATAAAACAAAGTATTTGAGAGAGGGCACTGTAGAGATGGCAATATATTTGCACACCTGAGGTGGGCACCAACATGGCGGACGCTTAATTTGCATAGATGTATGACCGTCAATTTTCTACAGCCCCCCTTTACATTCTGTTTGTGACCGCTGATCCTCCCCTCTGTTGAAAACCACGTGATTCCCATTAAATCCCCCGATCCCAACCCCTGGCGACCAATAATGACTGGCCAGAGATTTGCTCTTTGTGACTTACCAAATGGTCTTTTTGCATTAAAGACGATGATGTTTAATGCAGAATTAAATTGTTTTAAAACAAATAGTGAAGCTCCCGCACCCCAGGATAAATATGTTTTTTTTTTCCAAAAATATTTAAAACTCTTGACCATTTTTTTCCACTTGTTTCACACAAAGATTTCGAAAGTGTTATGAGAAAACATCCAGCGGATCATCGCAAAAGAGAGAAAAGAAATATTGCTCCAAATCCAACGGCAGGAACTGTAACTTTACAACAAATCCGCCAAGAAATAAACAACAAGTTCCTCATTTTTCTGATTTTTTATGATGTGTATCTCTAACACCATTGTAGACAGCCACTTTTCAATGAAATATGCATTTTTGTCTTTCCACAGTGAGCCGGCGACATTGAGCGTGTTTAAATAGCAATTTAGCTCCTTTAATGCCTATTACATTGGGGGAATTTATGTCCGTTTGATAATGTTAAAAAAATGTATGAGAAGTTTCAGTTGTATGTTCTTGCTATTTTCAATACTAAAAATGTTCTCCAATATGACCAAAAGTAGCTGTACGTTGCTGACAGTTTCTATTGATCACATGATGTTGTTTATTACATGTAGATTTTTTATTCGATTTTATTCTACCTTCAGAGCCACCAACATTTGTCAAGAAACTACCATCTTTGGTCATCATAGATGAAGGCTCCGTTTTAAATCTCTGTTGTAACGCTGTGGGCTCTCCGCCTCCCAAAGTCGAGTGGTCACGCGCTGGTAACGTGCACTCCGCTGATACATCATTGGCTTTCCAGGAACGAGGCTGCCTCAAATTCAACACTGTTGAGTTCAACAGTCACGGGAAATATGTCTGCCGCGCAAGATATCGCATCGGACTGGCAGAAACAACAACGTCAGTAGTTGTCAAAGAAAAAGAAGGTGCCCTTCGATCAATAATATGATTTGCTATTATTCCAGCTACCATACACTAATTTCATTCTAGTCTAAGAGACTAATTCTGTCATGACAGTAACACCAGTAGCCCACTTAAATTGATCTCAACCGTCCAGAATTTCAAACATAGAAAAAACTATCGCATGGCTAAGCATCTCGAAGCATTCTTTTGAAAAATCAAAGATTTATAAGTGCGGCGTTAAAACTGACCGGGGACAAGTTTGTGACGACATCTTGCCCTCGAGACTCTAAGTGATACTTATGATAAATAGGCGGGTCAATAGCACCAGTAAACAAACAAACAAACGATCAAACTACATGCCCTAGCTCCTGGCCTATCCCATGAGTAACTAGCCAGTATCTTCGTCTAAATCGTCGAAATGCGAAAAATACTAAGTTGAAAACATGTGTCTCGATATTGGCTAGATTTCGGCTAGCGGTTATCTCATTACTTGTACCCAGGCCACAGGGGCATCCAATAATTATCCACTGTTGGTGTGATTTAGGTTTTTCCTTAGTTTAGTTCGGTTGTGCGTGCTGTCTTGTTCTTGTGTTCTTACGCCTCTTGTTCTAGACTGAGAACCACAACAATATCATTCGTAACTATTTCCTTAATTTTTATGCAGTATTCATATCTGTTTTTCATCAATTTCCAGTTAATTCTTGTGAAGACGTCTTAAAGAAAAATATGGGGAAACAACGTCCCGGTAGCTTCAAGCTTTTAACGGGCAATTTTCGATATAATGTAAGTGTAGACTCCTCATTTCTCTTCCAGAATAAATATGAATCGTTGCTTTAGAGACTAACTCCTAGATAAAACAATTTTTGTTGCTTTTTCTTTTCTTGGTTTGTCTTTTTGTTTGTTTGTTTATTTGTTTGCTTTTGTTTTGTTTTTTATTTATTTTTTTCTTTTTCACCGTTTTTGATTTTTTCTGTTTGTGCTTTTTTTTTTTGTTTTCCTCTCAGGACGGGAGGTTTTTTCTTGCGAAGCAAAGTGTTAAGTGTAGTTCGACTTTTCTTTCAGCCTTACTGACAGTCGAAACTCCAATAGAAAGGCTTCAATAGTCGCACGACTTAACGACTCCATAGATTATAAAATATTTTCCGTCGAGAACATTTCGTGGGGCTACCAGCGAGGAAGCACGTATTTTTCAATGGGTCGCGCCTATGTACAGCTTCCAGTCAAAAATACAGTCGAGATGGCAATTTAAAAATTACATATTTGAATTGAAGAGAGACTCTTAGTAAGAGAAAACCTTTCCTGATATGGAGATGTGCTTTTTCACGTTCACTCTCACCACTCCTATCACCCTTCCTTCCCAGTGAGAGTTACGACTAGATCCCAAGCCTCCCTGTGACTCTTCTGATTCTTTATCGTATGGTTTTAAAGCTGTTAAAGTACTTCATATCTATCAAGGGATGCTATCAAATCCTCACCAACTTATATCCAAAATAATGAATGCCCTGCTTTTGGTTGTAATCTATTTGCAATGTACTTTTAGGTCTATTGTGATATCACGGCAAGTCTTAAAGGATGGACTCTCATCGCTCGATTCTCAAACAGCGATGGCAAGAATTGGATGCGTGACGATGGTAAGTGGTGGTATGACCAACACGCTGCCATTGGAACAGAGAATGACCCATCAGTTAACGCTGATATGATATCACCTGCCTTTTGGTTGGTCAGAGGAAGCGAATTTAAGATCACGCGCACTGACGACCCCAGCCACACACCTCTGTTACAAACCACAGGTAACTGTTTGGGTGGACAAACATTCCGATCTAAAATAACAAGTTATGGCGACTTTAGATATGGCAAAGTTTGGGCCAGTAATCAGTGTCTGGGAAGTTGTACGGTTCAATATGGTGGACAGTACAAGTCAACAGACGGGTTTCAACAGGCTGAGTGCGGTGGAGACATCCAAAGCGCCAACAAAATCGGCTTCTGGTGTGACTGGAGTACTGGGGATGGAGCAGTGATGATGATTGGTGGAGGAGGAAGTAGCTGTGCACGTGCAGATCACGGGATTGGAATCACAGAAAGTGATCATGCTTCTTTCGTTGAAAAAGATAGTGATGAAACTGAATATGACTTTGGTTATTACGCTGAATCAAATAAAGCTCCATCCCAGTCATACTCGCTGAACATATGGATCCGTTAAAAATTATAAGATTTTTCTTTATCAAACTAAGTTTAGAACTGGAGAACGCTGAAAAGGATAATGCTTATTTATTATTCTAGTTTCATTGTCAAATGTACATGAAAACGTATACCTCCACCGTTTTACAAGGGGGGAGGGAGGGATTGGTTGGAAGTCTCCCATGCGTTTTATTTACGTTGCAACATTTTAAAAAGTTTTTACCTTTAATAGATAGCCTTTGTCTATGAGATGCTTTTAATATCATGGGAGAAATATGCAAATTGCGCTGTTGTGATTCGGTGACGTCAACCAACATGGCAGACTTGTTTTAGATTTTTCGTTTTTTATATTATAATTTTTGGCTTTTTAAAACAGCAGTAGCTATCGAACTTGACAACAACAAAAAAAGACAGAATTAGCGGTTTTATTCTACATTACTTGAAGAATAAAACCGCTAATTCTTTCGGCGTAGTTTATATTAACCCTTAAACCACACTTTGCTTGTCATGATAAAATCTCTCTTCACCTTTTAAATATGACTTTAGTTATGATACTCAAATACACGACGTTCCATTCCAGTCCTAGTCGTTTAACTTGTGGACCCGTTCAAAATTATCCGTTAAAAAGAACCCTGGAGAGGACGGTATTAATTATTCATTTTCACCTTATGATCCAAGTTATTTGAACATTTAAAAATGGTCACTAACATCGCATCTTTTCCCTCTCAAAGCAAAGCTACGAAAGGGAAAAGATCTTAAGATTTTCACATCTTTAGATCTTCATTGGCAACGAATTGCAATTAAGTCCTTTTTCCTTGAAAGTCATTTTCATTAGAATTGTTTTAACAGACTTATTACTAAACTTGTTTAGGAGATGTTAAGTATTTGTCATTGATTGTGTAGTGATGAATTGCTGAAACCTTATCAAACGCCCATTGTTTAATTGAATGAGCATAAAGGAATAAATAGGTAGTTAGATAAACACATTGCTATTTTGATAAACATCCATGGTAAAAGATCCCTTCTCCGCCATAAAAATAAAAGGTAGAAGAGGTTCAGAGGATGAATTCTTCGTTAAGAGATTGCAAAAAAAACATTTTCGTTAAGAATATCAGTTCTCCATTTCAAATCTTGTTTATTTTAATCTCATTTATCATGACAAAAATATTCATTGTTAAACCTCAGTTCCAGGAAGGTCTAGTCTAGTTTTTACAGTCTCACTAAAGAAACTTATCAATTTCCTCTTAACCCATCTTGAAACCAATTCTGTCAAGACAGCAACACCAGTAGCCCACTTAAATTTATCTCAACTGTCCAGAATTTCAAACATAGAAAAAACTATTACATGGTTAAGCATCTTGAAGCATTCTTTTGAAAACTCAAAGAAGGTGCGGCGTTAAAAGTGACCAGGGACAAGTTTGTGATTGTCGTGGTCTCCGACGATATCTTGCCCTCGAGACTCAAAGTAATACTTATGATAACTAAGTGGGTCAATAGCACCAGTAAACAAACAAACAAACTACATACCCTAACTCCTGGCCTATCCCATGAGTAACTAGCCGATATATTCGTCTAAATCGTCGAAATGTGAAAAATACTAAGTTGAAAACATGTGTCTCGATATCGCCGAGATTCCGATCAGCGGTTATCTCATTACTAGTACCTAGGCCACTGTATACAAAAATGGGCATCCAATAATTATACACTTTTGGTGTGATTTAAGTTTTTTTTTAGTTTAGTTCTGTTATGTATGCTTTCTTGTTGTTGTGTTCTTACGCCTCTTGTTCTAGACTGAGAACCACAAAAATATCATTCGTAACTATTTCCTTCATTTTTTATGCAGTATTCATATCTGGTTTTTATCAATTTTCAGTTAATTCTTGTGAAGAAGTTTTAAAGATAAATTCGGAGAAACGTCCCGGAGCCTTCGAGCTTTTAGCGGGCAATTTTAGATATAGTGTAAGAGTAGACCCCTCGTTTCTCTTCCAGAATAAATATGAATCGTTGCTTTAGAGACTATATCCCAGATAGAATAATTTTTGTTACTTTGTTTTTTTTTTTTTTTGCTTTTGTTTTGTTTTGTTTTGTGTTACTCTTTTTCGCTGTTTTTGATTTTTCTTCTGTTTGTGCTCTTTTTTTTCCCTCTCCGGATGGGAGGCCTTTTTTGCGAAATAAAGTGTTAAGTGTAGTTCGACTTTTCTTTCAGCCTTACTGACAGTCTAAACTCCAATAGAAAAGCTTTAATAGTCGCACAACTCAACGACTCCATAAATTATAAAATATTTTTTCCGTCGAGAACATTTCGTGGGACATACCAGCGAGGAAGCACGCATTTTCAATGGGTCGCGCCTATTTACAGCTTCCAGTCAAAAATATAGTCGAGATGGCAATTAAAAAATTGCATATTTGAAATAAGGAGAGACTCTTAGTAAGGGAAAAACCTTTCCTGATATGAAGATGTGCTTTTTCACTTTCACTCTCACCACTCCTATCCCACCCTTCCTTCCCAGTGAGAGAGTTACGACTAGATCCCAAGCCTCCCGGTGACTATTCTAATTCTTTATCGTATGGTTTTAAAGCTGTTAAAGTACTTCTTATCTTATCTTATCTAAAGTACTTCATATAATCAAAATAATAACTGCCATGCTTTTGATTGTAATATATTTGCAATGTACTTTTAGGTCTATTGTGATATCACAGCAAGTCTTGAAGGATGGACTCTTATCGCTCGATTCTCAAACAGCGATGGCAAGAGTTGGATGCGTAACGATGGTAGATGGTGGTATGACCAACAAGCTGCAAATGGAAAGACAAATGGCCCATCAGTTAACGCTGATATGATATCACCTGCCTTTTGGTTGGTTAGAGGAAGCGAATTTAAGATCACGCGTAGTGACGACCCCAGCCACACCCCTCTGTTGCAGACCACAGGTAACTGTTTGGGTGGAAAAACATTCTGATCTAAAATAACAAGATATGGCGACTTTAAATATGGCACGGTCTCGGCCAACGATCAATCTCTGGGTAGTTGTACGGTTCAACATGGCGCACAGTACAAGTCAACACACAGGTTTCAACAGGCTGAGTGCGGTGGAGACATCCAAAGCGCTGAGAAGATCGGCTTCTGGTGTGACTGGGATGAAGGTGATGGATCAGTGATGATGATTGATGGAGGAGGAGAAAATTGTTCACGTGCAGATCACGGGATTGGAATCACAGAAACTAACGAAGCTTCTTTTGCCGAACTGAGAGGCGGTGACACTGAATATGACTTTGGTTATAATGCTCAGACCAGCAACGCTCCAACCCACGATGGCGTAGTGAAAAGATGAAAGCTTTACAAATACAGCGTAAGGGCAAATTCTCGTCGGAAAGATGACGATGCAAGAAGGACAACTTCTCTTTCTCATTTAACCGTAGAGATCTAATAAATGCAACCTGTTTTATAGAGGCATTATTAATAATAAGGGAGTGAGTTGTACTCAACGTCCCTTACCTTTGCATTAACGCAATAAACATAAATTCTGTTTCACAATAATCGAATCAGTAATTTCTTGTGAAGAAGTTTTAAAGAAAAATATGGAGAGACATTCCGGAAGCTTCGAGCTTCTAGCTGGCAATTTACGATATAATGTAAGCGTAGACTCCTTATTTCTCTTTCAGAATAAAGATAAATTATTGCTTTAGAGACGACCTCGTAGATAAAACAATTTTTATTCCTTTTCCTGTTCTTGGCTTGTTTTGTTGTTTGGTTTTGCTTCGTTTTGGTTTTCCTTTTTGTTTGTTTGTTTTAGCTGTTGTTGATCTTTTTATGTTTGCGTTCCTTTTTTCCCCTCCGGACGGGAGTTTTTTTTTAGCGAAATAAAGGTTTAAATGTAGTTCGACTTTTCTTTCAGCCTAACTGACATTCTAAACTCCAATAAAAAAAAAAAAAGCTTAATAGTCGCTATCTTAGTGTCATCAATGACTTCATAGATTATAAAATGGTTTCCCCCGAGCACATTTCATGGGACATACCAGCGAGGAAGCACGCATTTTTCAATGGATCGCGCCTATTTACAGCTTCCTGTCAAAAATACATTCGAGATAGCAATTAAAAAATTACATATTTGAATAAAAGAGAGACTCTTAGTGAGAGAAAAACTTTTCTTGATGTGGCGAGGTGCCCTCTAACTTTCACTCTCACCACTCCTATCCCAGTGAGAGAGTTAAGAGTAAAGCCTCCCAGTGACTATTCGAATTCTTTATCGTATGGTTTTAAAGTTGTTAGTGTACTTCATATCTATCAAGGGATGCCTTCAAATCCACACCAACTTATAACAACTTGGATTATAATATATTTGTATTGTTTTACTAGGTCCACTGTGATATCACGGCAAGTCTTAAAAGATGGACTTTTATCGCTCGATTCTCAAACAGCGATGGCAAGAGTTGGATGCGCGACGATGGTAGATGGTGGTATGACCAACAAGCTGCAAATGGAAAAAGAAATGAGCCATGAGTAAACGCTGATATGATATCACCTGCCTTTTGGTTGGTCAGAGGAAACGAGTTTAAGATCACGCGTAGTGACGACCCCATCCACACCCCTCTGTTACGGACCACAGGTAACTGTTTGGGTGGCCAAACATTCCGATCTAAAGAAGGAAGCGGAAGGGAGCGGAAGGGAGCACCCCCTATCCCCAACTCCCCCCCCCCCCCCCCTTGTACGTCCGTGGGCTAATCAATGAGCATTTTCAATGGTCAGTAAATGTTGAGTTTGCGTCTCGTAGGTTAGCTAAAATGACTTCCTTTGCAGTCAAGTCGCACTGCTTTGAATTTATGGATTAGTTAAAATGATTTTCCGCTTTCACAATCATGATATTTATACCTCTTTTAACGGTTGTTTGAATGTAGTAGACAATGTATCAGAGTTCATTCAGTGGGATCCTCATGGCGAGGAATTTCTCAATGTCTGAAACAAGAGTTTCCCATTTTAGACATGTCAACGGCTCATGCTTTTGAAAATAATTTCTTTTCTAT